TCTGATGTTCTAGTTCTGTCCATCAAAGTCATTAAAGACTGGATTTGCCATATGGCAGTTTCTGTCTTTCTCAAAACAGAAAGGGAGTGGGAAGAAACAGAAATAAAGATACACAAAAGGAAGAGCAGAAAAGAGAAAGGATTGCCACGGACCTCCGGCTTCCCTTTATCAAAGACAAAAGACCAAAGGGCTTTTCACTTGTCTGAGGGCCAGGCCATGGCCTAGGATATGGGTCCTGCTCCTCCTGAGTTGTGCTGCTGAGCACTCAGCCTGCCCCTTCAGTGTGACGTGCCAGGGGGTCGATTGCCATAGCGCTAGGGGAGGGTCTCCTGCAGGACCAGCTCCTCACCTGAACATCTCCCTAGGGACAGTGCCAGTTTTCATCAGTGAGAATTTAACCCACTTGCAACAGATGTAGTGCAGACGAATGGTACTGGGCTTAATTAGCCAGCCAAATAAGATGTGTTGAGAGTGATTATAGTAACATACAGAAATATCCTTCAGTAGAGCAGCAAGAGAAAACTAGTTGAGAGACAAGCCTCACATATTAATCTTAGGCTGGACTGTGCATCAAAACACTGCAGAGATGCCCACAAATCCATATACAGTGGATCAGGAGAAGAGTACAACAAGCTAGCAGAGGAGTTAAATGAATCTCTTGCATCATGTCTGCTGTTGAGAGTCATGTAGAAATTCCTGTGCCAAAGACACTTTGCAAAGAAAATCAGAGTGTGGCCTTTATATAGAATGAAGTCTCTATGGAGGAAGTTGTAGAGTAACTTGAGAAACTCAAGTGCAGTAAATCACCACAACCGGATGGTGTTCATCTGGGAGTTCTGAGGGGAAATAAAGTGAGAAAAAGCCGAGATACTGACAAGGGGATGCCTTCTTCCCTTGAAAAATGCAGCAGCACAAGAAGGCTGGGAAGCGCTATTGTATGTTGCCTGTCTTCAAAAGGAGATGAGGGAAATCCTGAGAATAGCAGAGCTTTGAAGTTGCCACAGTTTTAGGGAGCCCAAGAAACTCATTCTGAACAGCAGCTCAAGAGATAGTTTGTTGTTTCAGTCTCCCAAACTAAGGCTGTTACAAGGGGAAGAGTGTCTCTACGTGGGACTGTATTACTTTAAAAAACCAGTGGGGCAGCCTTCAGAGGGAAAGTGGAATGACAGGGACTTCTCAGAGGAAGGTGACCAAGTGATCCAAATATTCAAAACTGTTAGCAGATGTCACTTATAAGCAATTGTCACAGAGAATGTTCAGAAATAAAACTGAGAAAAATACCTTGAAGGTGATTTGATCCTGGAATGAACTGCAAATCAGTCTTGAATAAGTGAATATGGGAAGCATTTCTCTTTCTGTTGAGGAAGGGAAAGGTGAACACCCAGTAGTGGGTATCAGAACTAATACTGTAACAAAGAAATGAGTTTGAATCCCCAATCCTAATTCATTCAAATTAGCACATCCAGAATTCACCCCAGATCTAGATTCAAGTCACACATGTGGTTCCCATCTTAAAAGAGGACAAGCCAGTTCCTGGATTGAAACTCCTTGCGCTCTGAGGTTTGAATACTCCATATTCAAAGACTCCAGCCTACACAACAGTTACATGTGAAACATGAGGGACGGGAGGAGTGCATGTGTACACATAGCATGCAAGGGAAGCAATTAAATATAAACTCAAAACAATTTAAAAAGTGATTCATGGAAAAAGTGCTCTGATGTAGAGACTGCATCATGTATTTGCTCTTGACATTAACTTGCTGCAGCTAGGTGAAAGAGCCGAAGATTACAAGTACTAGGACAGTGGGAATTTTGCAGGGTTTGGTGAGTCCTGTTACAATCAAACAGTTCAGTTCCTGTAGGCCTAGTGCACTGATGGTAAAGCTCCTTCAGTTTTAGTTCACTTTGTCTCTTGAATTCATTAGATTTTGAAAGCTTTCAGAGGAAGTCAGAGGTAGGAATTAGACAAAATATAGAAAGTGGGACATTTCTGACTGGCTTGTGTGTTTTCAGAGTCTAAAAACCAATATTTTTTTAAGCAAACTGTAGGAGGGCTCGTAAAAATAGATGTTTACATTTACATACCGGGACAGATTCTCAGCTGCCATGGAGTAGTATTGCTCTATCTTCTTGTGCAGACCTAACCCTATCCAGCACAGCTGAGAATTTGCCTCTCACATTTGTGCATATATGTGTGAAATATGTTTAGGATTCTGTATTTTTTCGAGTGTAGAGAAGCTGCTTCTCCCTCCAGGTGCTTTTGTCTGTGCACTGAGTTGTGGGAGTTATAGCTCCTCTGTTTTTAACTGAGGGTGGTGTCTTCAGGGAGGCAGGGTGAGGAGGAAGGCTGAAATGCAAGGAGAAGAATGCATGCGCAAAGGAACTGGCATGAACAGAGAATCCCAGAGAAGAAGGTGGGGGAGAGAAACAGGAAAGAAAATGGTGTCCCACATAGCCATGCTGTGATCTAAGGGCATTACTTCTTGACAGCAACTGAAAACCGAGCAACATCTGCATTCACAGCAATGGGGAGTTAAAGTGTGATTGATCAGCAACCATGACTTTTGGAAAACACTTCAGGTGTTGCCTGCTAGGTAGCAGGAATAGCAGGAGACCTGCTATTGGTAGCAAGGTGGAGAAAAAGCAGCCCTGCCCTAAGCTGTGCTGTTGCTGGAGTCATGTAACACAGGAGAGAGAGTAGGTGTCACATCAGATAGTGCTAATGGGTGCCAACAACTACCTTCACCCCTTTCCTCTCAGTCTCTCTTTGCATGAGAGTAGAGGGAATATCAGTGTGGAACAAGTGTGTACGACGGTGCTTCTTGCCCACACAGTGGGACCCTGGTAGTGATTCAGACTGTACTGGACTCTGGACACGTAATGTACACTGAATATCCATAATAAATAATAATTACCACAGTAGGGGGCAGCAGCCAGCTGTGGAGGAAAAGTAGGGCCAGCTGCTGGAAGAGATGTAGGCACTGGCTGAGCATGCAAGCTGGGCACTGGGGAGGGCGAGAGGGCCATGGCTGTGAGCCAGTGGCAGCTTATTGCCAAGCAGAGGGAGATAAAAGCACAAAAGAGGTTCACCAGAGGGAGCTGCCCCTGGCCACCCCTCAGCAATCAGTAACAGCCCTGATCCAGGAGGGAAGGCTGATGGCAAACAGGAGCACCGCCAGACTGAGTGCAAGGCCAACACTGCTCACACATACCATGATGGAGCTAACAGGATGGGTGTGTGTAAGCCAAGCAAGCCTGCTGCAGGGAAGCAGCCCTGCACAGGCCTCTGGCTTGCAGGAGACCTATACCTCCTCCAGAAATGAGCACAGACCCATCCTGTTCCCCTCAACATATCCCGAGATGCATCTCCAACTAAAGCAGAGTCAACACTTCAGAAATGAGTGCAGCTCCACAAGAGACTGATAGGTACCCAGTCAATGCTTTTCTGAAACCCCCTGATGCTCATGTCCCTTTAATTTCATTTACAGAGAAGTGTCCTGGCAGCTCTGAAGGTGCCCAAAGAGCAGCACTATTATTTGTCTGAATTCCTCTGAAGATCTGATGCTTAGCATTTGGGGTCCCCCAGTGACAAGGCAAATGAAAACCTGCTTTTGAACACAATGCACACACTTAGCAGTCCAGTAATCCAGTGCAACTAAAAGTTATCTAAGATTTAAAATATTTTTCTAACCACTCTGAAAAGTAATTTCTAAGACCAAATCAGTTCATCAACCTCATTTTCACAAGGCTGTTCATGGCGTGCTCCCCACATACTGGCTTCTAAGCAAAGTCAATAGCATCAGTAACCTCCTCTACTTGCCCCATATAGAATACTTAACTATTTCACCAGCACAGCATAACAATTAATTAGTGCATGTTCTCTGTAGTAATTATAAAAATGTGGCACATTTCACTTGAATTTAGCTTAGTGAAATTTAGCTTTGCTTATGTTCGTGTCTTACCTTCAAGTGCACTTTCCATGCTTAGGTATTTTTCACTGAGTTCAAATGCAAATAGATAAGCCCTTTTTGCTTTTTCCTCCAAAGTAGGAGTATATTTATTTCCAAATTCTATATACATCCACCAGGAAAAGTGACATATGACATCTGAAGTTTGGTTGTTTGGGGGTTTTTTTGCTGTGTTCCTAATTGGCCGATCATGGTGGGTGAGATGTGGGTGATGTTAAAGGGAAGCTGCTTTTCCTCCATTTCTCAACAGAGAGGCTGAGGAGTTTTTCAGTCCCAGTAAAAAGAAAGAGCTACTATCTGAGTCTCAGTTTATGTACCCCACAAGAGAACTCGACAGAGGACAACTCAGAAAAATAGGGTGCAGTGTCAGGGAGAAACATCCATCATTTTTGCAGGTAGTGGACAAGCATAATCCATGTGTGAGTTTAAATGCAAATTCATGGGCAGCAAAGAGCCTATGTGTTGAAAATATATACAGTTCAAACATAAAGAAGAAAATTCTTTCTGAATAACTTACATCTGAACATCTGACCTTAAGAGCCAGCCTCAGCTAAGTGCTGGCAAACACCAAGATTTGGAAGGAAGCTGGGGGTGTTGCACTATTTTGAAAGCTCTGTTTTGAACCAGCTGTCATTACAAACGTCTGCTGGTACCCCATCTTAGCATACAGCCTGTCACTGTTGAGCATAATGAGAATGAGCCAATGCAGTGTATTGAGTATGCTTTCTTTCATGTCCTTGTAGCTCAAATTATCCCTTCACACAGCCATAACAGGTAAGGTTTGAATCTATTTATGCCACCTTCTAATTGGTTCTGTTTAATTTATGCATGTGTCTCGCTACGTCTGTTTGTATATACATATATACATATTTATGCATATATGTACAATTGGACATAATTATTAAAAGTAAATATGCATATTGTCACAGATTATTGCTATGTTCATCACAGATTCTTAAAGTAGTTGGCTTTATTATGCCATAAAACCATATAAATTTATTACCTTCTTTAGAATAAATAAGGAACACAAGACTCATTGTACCATTTATGTTTAATGGTTTGGACTTCTCAGCACCCACATGAAAACAAGGAAACATATATTGCAAGAGACAGTATAATTATTTCAGCAAAGAACATCCATCCCACACTCCTAGCAATATGAGATTCAGCATCATGAGATTCTAGAATTATGTCATCAGCTGCACGAGTTTCACAGCTTATCTTTCTGGTTTTATGTTACAGAAGTAAACTCCAACAAAAATGTATAACACTGCCAATTTAACAGCACATTCATGTTAATACTAGCTGTAATGATTTTTAAAAGGTGAATAGGATCAGCATTTCCATACATATGTGTGCACTTACATATATATATATAGGTGTACACACACATGCACATATAAATGCAAACATATGTGTGTGCTACGTATTTAAACTGTATTTAAACTGTGTTTAGAAATGCCATTACTTTAAAAGGTCAATTCCAAGTACATTAAACTTGAAAACAGTGTTCCATACAGTTGAGCAATTTAAAGAAGTCCCTGCTGGTGCATGGAGGAAGATCAAGCTAGCTGATATCATTAAACGTCATCGGATGAGGCTGCAGGTAGCTGAAACGTTCCTTAATGAAAATTTAAAGACAGCAGATTAAAATTATATTCCTCCAATACAACAGAACACTAAGGTAAAGACAGTCCATTACAACCAAGATCATATTTAGCTCTAAAGGAGTGTTGTTTGTAGATCAGAATTTATTGCTTGAAGTGAACAGCTAGGCTTGCAGCTATGTATATAATTACTTTCTACAACGTACTTTCCTAGCACTCAGACATAGTTATGGAAGATGACGTCTTCCATAATTTTAGAATATGACGTCCATTACCAAGAACTAGAAAATCTCAAAAACAGCAACAAAGGTCTTTTTATCTGTACTAATCTGTCTTTTTTACATTATGAGAAATAAAATAAATCCATAATGACATGCATTTGGTTTTTGAACTGCTAGATCAACTGTTTCAATAGGATTTTGTTGGCAAATAGAGTAAGAGGCACCAAGGAAGTGGTTTGAGCACTCTACCTGTATGCCTGTTCAGAGTGCTGGCAGCTTTCCTCTGGACACATCAGGAAAGATTTTCAGTGAGGAGACATGAATGGTGCTCAGCTCTACATCAGATCTGTTGCTAGTTTATAGAAATGTATCGCATCTTTAGAATCTCATAGCTAAAAAAGATACTGACAAGCTATCTAGTGTGACTAGAATAGATGAGGAGTAACAAGAAAACTGAAAGGACTTCTAGGTTAGGGAAGATTAAGTGATCCAAATATCTATGGGTTGGCCTAATGTTAACTAAACACATCACCACACTAGTTAAAAGATATCAATGAAGGGAAAGAAGGAAATTTGCAAAGGGTTGTAAAAAGAAGAAATATGATGATGTTAAGAAAGTAAAAAAACTCCTGACAAAAGATACTGTAGGCAGCATAACCTCTCCGTAGAGACATGGCATCACCAGGGCATTTAATCTAGGCACAAAAAAAAAACCCCAAAAAATATACCATATGAAACAATCTCATTGTGACACGGAGCTGTATTGGATGACCTAAAAGGTACCTTGCTAATTGGCGTGCACCTGTTATCTGTGATTTTCCTTGCTTGTATGGCCAACTCATCATTACTTGTGTGTATTCAGTTTCTCTGGGTCCAATCCAACTCATGCTGCAGCCAACAGAAGTTTCCAATAGGAGCAACAGGACCTCAATGTCTTTTCCATGTCTTTGCTGTCCTAAAAAGAAAAGGGTTAAAAAAACCCACACTACTCTGCAAGAACTCTTACTGCATCTGCTACATGAAAGTATATATATAAACCAGATTGTTCCCCAAGATCTTTTTGGATATTTAAACCTGTGTTTATCCTTAGAGATATCTAGGGAAATGTGCATTTCCTTTCATACAGTGCAGCTAAAATGTTTGCTAGGAAAGAAACTTAGAGTTCATCTAAAAATAACTTCTGATGAAAAACTACTTTGGTCATGGAAGGATGAAGAAAATTCTCTACACTGAAATAAAAAAAGGTATTACACAGAAATGGCAGAGCTCTTTCTGTTGCTAAAGCAGTAATGCAACTGATGAAAAAAAGCTAACAATGAATTCTGAACTCAAACTAGTTTTCAAATACTTTTACCTAATATCTTAGTATATATAATCAAATAGTGCTAAAAATCCAGTGTGCTTGCAGGTAGGGAATCACTGTTTGGTAGCAGTTCGGTGTTTGCCTCTTGAGAGACACAAATTTCTGTGTAAGTGGGGCTGAATGTTCAGGGGTCAGAGCTGTGTGCTGGTGTTGTTCATGTATCTAGCAGCTGGTATTGTAAATCTTTAGAGCAGCATTTCTTGAAAATACTAAACAGACATTTTGGTCGCTGGTATTGAGCCTGTGGCTATACTGCTTCAGGCTGTGATCTTGTCAGCTTTTACAAGATAAGTAGGGTCAGGCAGGGTCACCACTTGGATTGGTAATTCTAAGGAAAGGCAGTAGCTGCAGGAAGTGTCTTAGGCAATAGAATAACTGTAACCATTTTCCCTGAGCCTTTTCTAATACCCTGATGAAGGCATAACGCCAAGCTGTGACATGAGAGCAAGATCCTTACCCTCTGCAATCATCAAGCGCCTCATTTTCAAAGGGGTCTTCCTCTGACCTGGCGTGGAGGTGTGTGGTACAATAAATGGGAGACTGCAGAAGTCAGGTACTACTTCCACATGTGCGTGGTCCTGATTGAACAGCATGTAAATGTATGGCTCCAGCATGTTTCATCAGGAAGGAGGTACAGGTGAATGACATTTCTGACATCTTTGGGGATGCTGGCAGCTCAAAATTATGTCTTTGTCTGCATTTATAAGACAAAAGACAAGTCTATTGAGTCAAGACCTTACACACCAACTTTCAGTCTCACACATTTCTACAGTAAGTATAGAAGGGCTGATAATTATATTCTTGCCTGATAGTCTACATTGCCAAGAATTTTAAATTGTAAGTTAACCAATTTCTCCTCTAAAGTTCAAACAATAAATAAAATTCTATGTGAAAAATGAAGCCTTTTATTCCTTTGTTAAAATGTGATCAGAGTAAACTACAGATGTTAAAAGGCACTGTAGTTCAAAGAATTAAAAGAATCTTATGGGGTTTGTACAAAGATAAGAGTTTTAGAGAATAATATAGAAAATATTATAATGCTATTATATAAATCAGTGGCACATCCTCACTTTGAATACTGTCTTCAAATTTGGTCACCTCATTCCTGAAAAAAGAAAGTGGAAATAGAACAAGTCCAGGGAATGGTAATAAAAATGATAAAAGTCAAAAGGATGGGAAATTTCTTGAGAAAAGTTAAAGAATATAAATGTTAGCTTGTCTCTCAGGGAAGATTTATCCTCATGGGACATTCACAGATATGGAACTTAGGGACATGGTTTAGTGGTGGACTTGGCAGTGTTAGATTAATGGTTGGATTCCATGATCTTAGATGTCTTTAATCATTCTACGATTCAAATCATACACAAACTGAATGAACCCTCTCCATAAAATCTGAATACATGTTGTCTGAGATAATCTAGAAGATGTCCTTGGACCCCAGCAGTTCTGGACGGCTCTGGGCCCTTGCATGAATCAGATATCGAAGGTATTTTCCACAGTGTACCCTGTCCTCTCATAGAACTTTCAGCCACTGAAGGCCAGTCTGACCCATGGATAGTGGACAGAACACAGAGTTAAGTAACACCTTTTTTCCTGTATTAAATCATAGGATCATAAAATGGTTAGGGTTGGAAGGGACCTTAAGTTCTAGTTCCAAGCCAGCACCATGAGCAAGGACACCTTCCACTAGACTGGGTTACTCAGAACTCCATGTAACCTGGCCTTGAACACTTTCAGGGATGGGGAGTCCACAGCATCTCTGGGCAACCTGTTTCAGTGTCTCTCCACCACCACAGTAAGGAATTTCTTCCTAATATCTAATCTAAATCTAATCTTCTTTGGTTTAAGGCCATTACCCCTTGTCCTGTCACTACAGGAAAAGGGAAAATCCTTTTCCAGGGACTTGACCGTATCCCTGACTTATTTTTCTGGTCTTTTAGAGACTTTGCTTTCCCTACCTTCATTTAAAACTTCTGAAAGTCAGAGGTGATTGAGAGGTACAAATCCATTGACTTGACTGGTAACCTTTTCAGTTAAATCACTCGTCTTCCTCAAAAATGTGCCTTTTGTCTATTAAAAGGACTTGCACAGTCTTCCTCACTTTGTGTGGTGGGATCTCCAGGCTGTGCCAGTCCTGCTTAAGCATGACCATAATATAAATAACATTTCATCCTCATGATCTTCAAACTTAATTAGCAGCAAAGGAAAAAAATCTTTCCTATCCTGCAAGGTGAAACGAAAAGGTATTGAATTTCAAACGGATAGGAGGTATTGCTTTTCCAAACAATGTACAGTTAATTAATGGAACTTGCTGCTGCAGAGTTAGTACTGAGAGAAACAACACCATATTTGTAAGCAAGGAGGCATTTTTAGGCATAAAAGCAAATCTTCACACGAAGTTCAGATTGGGTTAAATTCAGTAGCACGCATTAAACAGAAGATAAGATTAGATGACAATAATGGTTGCTCCTAGCCTTAAAAGATCTGTGAGTTTCGCTAGATGCAATTATGTAATAATGTCTAATGATCTCAGGGGTTCATGGTGTGTGCCAGTCAACAGACAGTGTCAAGACAGCATCTTAATCCATAGTAAACCGTGACACTGTTAAATGCATAGTGAGGAGGGAGAATCTCCTTATATGTGGTCTGGTATTGATCTCTGTCAAAGTCCAGGCATCTTAGGATTGACCAATGCCAGGGGCTGCTGAGGAGCAGCCAGGAAAGCCCACTACTCTCAGCTTAACTGCAGAGCGTCATTAAACATCTATGTATGAGAAGCAAGGAGCTCTCTGATCTATTGATGGATTATCAGGGCAGGTACCAATTCCTACACTGGGCCTTCAGAGGATCAGGAAAGTCTAGGAAGTTCTTCAAACTAGTGGCTATCATACCTCTTTCTAGACCTGGAAAAATCGTTTCTCCTCCAGCCCTTTGTGGGAACCCTGGAGGCAACAGTCATACTCATGCTAGCATGGTGTGTCTTCAGCCCTGCCTTTAGATCAGGAAAAAGTAGACCAAGTTCAGTAAGGTTTTTTCAGGTAGAAAAGGTTTAGAGAAAGGTGAGGAAATCAAAGCTCAGTGTCTGCAATTAGCTGTATCTTTTGATTTGTGTGACAGCACACACGGGAGTCCTAGTGCCCCTTTACCCAGACCAGCACCCCTTCAGAGAGACCCCAGTTCCCATCTAAAACCCATACTTACCCACAGAAACCTATGGAGGCAGAAAGTCCATCCTCAGCTGCCCATGGCTGAGTTGTGTATCTGAACCTCAGAAGCAGGACAACATTCCCCATGTTCTGTGGTGTCTCTGGCACTCTTTTCTACTTCAGACATCCTAAGGTGGGGACAGAAGCCAGATCTCATTTGCCCTGAGAAGTGTTACCTTATTATGGTGATGCATGATAGATATCTGATTTGTCTCTGAACTGTTAAGAATATGTTAATGCTAACAAGGTACCAAGAGAATAGAGACCCTTTTTTCCATGATTGCACTTACCTACGACTTCAGTCATCTTACAGGCCCCACAAGAAATCAAGGAGGATGTCTTCCAGGGAGTAGCTGTTCTGGAGTCATTTCAATTAAGGGAAGTTGTTTCAGTCTTGTGGGTTGAAAAAGTTATCTACTGGGGGGAAAAGAAAAGGAAAAAAAATAAAAGGAAACAAGCTCCTTACACCAGTGGTTTGACACCAGCAAGCATTGTACTTTTATATAGAGTCAGAGCATACACATAAAGTAAGCACAAAATGCACATGCAGTTGTGATTCCAGGATGTTTGTAATGACAAGTTAGATTGTAAATTATTTCTTTGGAGGGCAGAAAGCACAGTGAAAATAATGTATATTATTCATAAAAATGATTGTCCTGTTCACTTGTATACCTCTGCAATTTATTCTGTAACAGCTTTTTACTTCAAAGAAATCACTAGCTAATGACATCTCAAACTTAAAAAATCCACTTATTCACAACCCTGTCCCTGAGGGAATTCCTGCATGTTATCAGAAATTTTTCCAAAGATCATTAACAGATATTACAAACCAATTGAAACTGAGTATTTTCTTTGCAAATTACTTTTAAATTTAGAGCTATTGAAAAAAGACATTGAGTGATTTAATTTACTTAATCTGTCTACAGATTGCAGCTATGTGCATATCCTGTGATTGCATTTCCAACAAAAAGCATATATAACTATCCCTAATAGGGATATTTTTCTAAATTATCATACAAGATCAGTAAGATCTCTGCAGATATTAATGTTTACTTTTTCATTTAGAAAATTGCACTCAAGAAAGAAATGGGCATCTTTATTCTGTTGTTATTTTAGAAATAATAGCACACCATAATACTTATTTTACCTGCTATTTTAATTAAAACTCCAATAATCATCATATCCTTTGAGACTATGTTCTACTGATTTTTCTGAAAAATCACTGTATTTTCATTAGGCTGAGAAGACAATGTTTAAGAAACACCTTACGCAGCAATGAGTATACCAAAAGAGATCCTCTATCTTGCACCAATCCAAAACAGCAAGCTAATTCAGCAGAATAGGGATGGAGATTGTATCTTATTCTCCACCTTATTGCCTTAAACTCCTCCCAGAGAACCTTATGCATTTCAGCACCACTTCTGCAGGAAGTATGGAAAATCTCTTCCCCCATGAATATTTAGCTTGTAGCTCCCTAGCTAGGGTTCCTGCTTTCATTGCAGATAAGAGATAAGGGCTTGGGCAGATTTTGAAGATATTTACTTTGAATGACAGCGAACATGGCTGCTGTACTTTATGTACTGCTCAGTCCTGATCCTGTGTTACACATGCTTTGCCAGGCCATTCTCGATAGACATGTGAGCAAAGCATGGATAGTTTGAAGAGGTGAATCGGGATTAACTGCTGGGAAGTTCAACTCAACTGAGCTAGTGACTGGCCAGAGACAGGAGCAGAACGTGGATTTTAGATGTCTCAAGATCCTTTTTATCAAAAATTCAGGTGAACTTGTGTGTGGGTTGGGAATCTGGACTTGGACATCTATATCCCACATGAGTCTCAGTCATCCCCTTTTGTGGCTTTGGGCACAGAGACAGCTATTCAGAGAAGGACGCAGATTTTTCACAGAAAAATTTTCATATCTTGCTTTAAGTGGTGGGAGAAGTGTACAGGAAGGGTGACAAAATCTGCACCTTCCTCAAATACTCTGCATCTTCCCATTGACAGGGTCAGAGGTCTGGGACCAGTCTAAAGACTTCTCCATTCCCAGTACTATTTAGCTCTCACTCTCCTGCTGTCTTCCTTTCCTGGGTTACGATAAAAAGATCACACAATGAAAAGATTTTTTTTCCCAGTGAATCAAACTGCATGGGTCAATTTACTTAAGGAAATTTTGAAACTTTGTCAGCAGCTGAAAAAATTACTCCCTGAGCTACCTGTGGCCCAGGTTTGTCCTGTAAATATTGGGAGGCCATAAATCTTTACAAAGGTCCCACACTATTAGCTTGACAACTTGTTCCTACCCACCATCCTGTGATGGTATGTGGGTGTGAGAAAGAAGACGAAATGGCTGCTACTGAACAATTAGTATCTGCACAGGTTATTGCCTTGATTTTAACCCATGCTGCACTCAGATAAGCAACATGGTAGGGTATTACTCTCTTTTTTCCCCATAAAGGTGCAGCATCTCAAATTTTTCACATTCCTGCTCTCCATTCACCCCTATGACCTGCTCAAGACACTCTTCTAGTCATGGTCTGAACCTCTAGTTTACAGCCATAATAGCACTGCTACTGTCAGTAGCTGCTTCTGTGAAAGCCAACTGTTTCTTAGGACCCCCTCTTTTTAGATGTGTCTGCCCCACCTTTCTGCCACGCATGAACAAGTGGCATTGGAGTGTCAGTTCATATGGCGCACATGGAAAGGCAGAGCCCCAACACATTTGCTAGTGGCTCTCCCCTGTCACTAGCAGTGCAATCTCTTGTGCAAACCCAGCTTCAGGATGAGTCGGTTCAGTGCTGCGTTCTCCCTCTCTTCTCTCCCTGCCTTCCCACTCCCAGGTGCCCTGTGTTGCTTCTGCTTTAATACAACCAGCTGCTTGGTGCTCTGGGCTCCTTCCAGGGCTCCTTCTACATGGAGACTTGTGACAGAAGCCACCACTGTGCCTCCATCAAGAGTGACCTGGACTTTCCACCTGCCGGCATCGGGTGCTGTGCCATCAGCTGCCAAACTGGCACGGCTCCACCGGCTGCAGCAGCTGAGCACTCCTCCTGTCACTCAAACCAGGACATCTCCACGGATTCTGATAACACATCTGCTAATTAATGCCCGTTGTGATCATTGGTCAGATCCTCAATTGGGATAAATTGAAATGGGTCCATTTAAGCCTGTGACAATTAGTGGCAGCTTAGAGATGACCTGGTGGTTTTCTCTATGACATGAATATACGTCTTGTTGAAAGTGAATAAAACTCAAAAAAAAATTGCGCAGAAACTACCAAATGAACAGCAAACAAAATGATTGCCAGTAACTCCCAGTCCAGGCCAAATTACAATGGTGACAAAGAAGTGATAACCGCAGGTATGTTAACAACTCTCTGAGCTAGCCAAGCTCCTTGTAATAAAAATAATTAATGATAATAGATGTGCTTTTGGATACATTCACCTTTCTGTAAAGAAAAGGTAATGAGTCTATCTTTAAAAAAAACAGACTATCAGGAAATTTGAAAGTGATTCTACTAACATGTAAGCAGAGTGTTTTACATTATAACAATAGAACAGATCAAATCTATTCTTTAATTCAGTTTTTAAGATTTATAAGCAATATCAGTAAGTGAAAAGGACCAGCCCAAGAATTCTCTTGGAGGTTTTTTCTGCCATTTGTCAAAATTTCATTTCAATTAATACTTCCACCCTGTTAGGTTGTATCACCAGTCCTCTCAACCATAAAAAACAGAGTTGTAGTAGGTATTAAATCCTAAACAGAGGTGAGTAAAGCATCCGGGAAAGAAAGAAAAAGTTTGATAGGTTGTGTCAAAAGGAACCTCTGTTATAATTTATTATTTGTTAAGCACTGACAATACGCTCAGTTCTGCTGATTAAGTTTTTTTGAGCAAGTTCTCCTGATTATCTTCTGAGGACAACACACTTTACTACAAAGAAGATATGTGACAGCTATCAAGACTTTTGCTTTCAAGACTCACTTAGTAAAACAATTACATGCCAGTTATGCAGGTTTTATGAAAAAAAAAGGAGAGAAAATGCATAAACTGAGTAAATATCATGACTTTTGTGTTCACTAATTTTCCTACTCCAGATCTCTCACTTCAGTACTGTCTGACAACCTCAAAGTTACACTGAGATTTGAGGAAGATCTAAAGCCTCATCCCTGCTTATATTCAGTTTTTAAGCATCATGTTATATTAGAAGCAAGCACACAGGCTATATCATTAGGATCTGTCTTTGGATCTGGGACTCACTCCCCGGGAAGGGCAGAGAAGGCTGAATGGGGCCAGTCTGAGACAGACAAAAATCTGAGCAGTTCCAGACTCACACATACATTTCCTTCATGCCACAAAGACAGAACTAGGCAGTGCTCTACTCGTAGGTGTAGACCTGACCTTAAAAAGACTTTTGGAGGTGCAGGTGCCATAGGGGAGCATCTTTCATATCCTGCTGGGTTCTTGCTAGGCTGTGAGGGCTTTTTCTCTAGCGAACCTACTGTTAAGTCACTCCGGCCTGAGATATAGGCACATTTTTAGAGGGCATCTAGGAGTCAGGGATGTTGGTTTTCTGCTGGTCTAGAGCCATTGCAGCTATTCTATTCCTGAGAGTCCAGGTGAACTTTGTGCCTGTTTTGTATTTACTTCAGCATGTAAAGGAAACAGTTTCTTCCGCCACCTTTACCCTTTGATCATTTATGTACAGTTTACCTCCTGGGTGGCTGATTCCCCAAAACAGCCATTTGATAGCAAAGTAATGTGCATGCATCTGTGTGTACAAAACAAGGGACGGGGCTGAGGACTGCTCTAAGAACCTCTGGCCACATTTGCATGTCAGGAGGGTGCCAAAGAGGCATTGTCCCTTGCGCCAGCCAGGCAATACCTATAGGCTTTCAAATCACAACGATACCAGAGTTCCAGCTGCACAGATGATTTTACAAGAAAAATTTCCTTTTGTCTGCTGCTATCCTTTAGCCTGCACACTTCCCTAAATCCCACCAGCATGCTTTTTTTGTCACTGACAGAGAGAAGTGAATTCTTATATAAATCCTTTGTGTGAAGATCAAACTGTGTGCATGTAGAACTATTATTTTTTTAGGGGAAAATCTGCCCTAAAATTATTATTCCATGTTATCCTCCTCACAAAGCGTCTGTGCTGCCTTTTAAAATGCATTCAAGGCCACCCTCAAGACCAGAGTCAGTGCTGGCAGGCAGTGAGCTGCAGCTGAAGTCTCTGTACATGCGAGGAGGGCAGACCGTGGGCAGCCCAGGGCAGGATTGGGGTCAGGGGCAATGCAGCTGGAAGAGACCGTAATCTGAGTTGCTCCTTGCAGACAATGTCAGCTTTTGTACTGATAGAAACTTGTGGGGCAATGTGGGAGCTGGGCTGGATCATGTGAAAAAGGTGTTTCTTTACCTAGCTATCTTGGACTCCTCAAACATCCAGCTGGCAGACCCTGAGGTTTAAGTCAAATCTTGTAAGTTAACAGTACTTTAGTAATAGACCGAGGAGTGGAGGATTTGTTTGAGAAAACATAGCCTTTCATTCATAAACTTGGAAACCCTTGTAATGGAGGGGAGAATCAGAAAAATGATCAGTTGATAAGAGTACTATTGGGAAATTCTTTTAAAAAAAATATTAAGGAAGAAAACCCCCAAACAGTAGTACAACAACAGTTTTAGGATCAACTTCAGTGCTCCTTGATGTTACACTATTTAACAATTTGATTACCAGCTAGAAAAATGATCAGGTATTAAGCCCCCCAAGCATGGAGGAGTAGCATGACTCATTGTAGCACCTTATCTTTGGGAAGCCTCCCTCTCTTCCTCTTTCATCTTTCTCTTCTTCTTTCTTGCTTCCTATGCTCACAATTGCCTTGAATACAATACAGTCAGAGTTTTACAGCCAGCTCTAATTTTCCCAGAAGGTACAGCTCTTTAAAAGCAGCACAAATTCTTTTACTCAGGACAGTAAAAATGGACTTGCACTCCAGTGAAACTATCTAAAAGATAGATGAACCAATTCTATTAAAATAAAAACATTCTACCTGTGTCCATTCCCCAGCAAAGTTTCTGCCAAAGCCGGAACTAAACCCTAATCTGACCTATATTAAAGTGGAGAAAAATCAACTTCCTTTCACTCCCCCATTCATTTTCCACCACTGTGATTTACTAAATTTTAGGCAAGCCCATGACCAAGAGCAGCAGGGCCAAAAGGGGCTGGATGTGCCTTATTCTTGGCCCAAATGGAAGCAGGAAATACTAAACATCTTGCATGGAAGCCTGTTCTTATCAGGTTTATAGCCCAGCTTTTTCTATCAAAAGCAGCGAGGATAGTACACAGTTCAGAAATGCATCCAAGCATATGGGAGTCTATCTACACTAATCCTCCTTTTGAGCTTCATCCAGCACTAAATCAGAGCCACACCGAAGAGAGGAATAATGCAATAACTTGTGGAAAAAACATGGCTCTTCTCTACTAAAATAGGGAAAATCAAACATGACTCATTTTTTTCCTTAAAAATTGTTGGAGGAATACTAACAATGTAAAGCATGGCAGAGACTGGGAAAAAAAAAAAAAAAAGTCGGGTACCACTTTAACTTGACTGCCTGAGACTATAGATCCCTGTGCAGAGCAGGCTATATGCGCAGGGCAGTCGTTGCTGGGAAAGCACCAATGGCCTTGGAAGAGTAACATGATAACTATAGAGGTGACAAAACTCACCTGCAAGGATGTGAAAACACCTTTTTACAGAGTTAACCTGCACCATGCTCACAGTGTTGTGGCTGCAGCCACCACCTCCCTCAGTCCTCTAAGAGTATCACTGCAATAATTCAGAGAAAGGAGTGATGCACAGCCTTATTTTCCCTGCCGGAATATGGGACGCTCTGTCTATGGGAGAGAAAGGGCTTTGCTGAGCTCATCAGAGGGCTGTGGCAAGGCCACCGGTGCTAGCTTGGATGTGGGAACAGAACAAGCAGAGCAGTGACACCCTACTCCCCACCACAGCCTCACCTACTGAAAGCTAAAGCAACAAAAAAAGCAGCAAGACAAGACCTACGCAAACTGCTTGAGATGCTGTAGCAGCAGTGGCATACGCTGTCCGGGGCTTGAGCCCTTCATTGCTTTTTCCCGATGTCCAAAGCAAAAAAAACAATTTTCCTTAGAAGTACAACCCTGCTCCACAGCCTCCAAATGCCACTTTGTGGATCTCAGACAGGGTACAGAAACAAAAGTGTTCAACAGGAGTGCCTCAGGAGTGCTGAGGGGTTAGGGAGCTGAAAAAGAGCTGTCAGCTGACAAAATGATGTGGGTAAGTCAGGGGTACAAGTTAGGAAAGGGTTTGGCTAAATAGAGACAGGAAAAATAAATACAGCGCCAAGCACACAAGCAGGTACAAGTGCAGAGTCAGCTTAGGACTTGCAAAGAGCCTATTTTTTCCATACATAAGCAACTTCAAACTAGAATTTTCTTGATCACACATGTTGCCTTTTCCTAATTAAAACTGAGAGAAATCATATTTATCTATTTTCTAAAAGACAGAAATCAGTATGTGACTCCCAGTTCTTGAAAATTACTGACTAGAATCTCATTTGGCATAACTCAGCCTTGCTATCATCGAATCATAGAATCACAGATTTGTTTGGGTTGGGAGGGACCTTAAAGACTGTCTAGTTCCAACCCCACTGTCGTGGGCACAGACACCTTCCACTACACCAGGCAGCTCAAAGTCCCATCCATCCTGGCCTTAAACAATTCCAGGGATTGGTTATCCACAGCTTCTCTGGATAACCTGTTCCAGTACCTTACTATCCTCATAGTGAAGAATTTCTTCTTAATATCTAATCTAAAACTACATTGACATCTACAAAGCACCATATCTTTACGCTAGCTTAAGATCTGCTCCCATATGCTGTTTCTTTAGAACAACTTGTCTTCCCCCTTTTTCTTTTTTTTTTCTTTTTTTTTTCACAATATGCATCTGGTTTAAGGTGACTTTTTCTTTCCCAGCATATGGAGCTGAATGATTATGATGATTTACATTTATTTTAAATCACAGCCTATTAAATGGAAAAATAAATGCTAATATGTTGATATGGTTTACTTCTGAATGAATTATTGATATGAATGAGTAGTTGCTGCTATCATAATTACTGTTTATTAAATAAATATATTTTGAATTAGAGACCCTTGATTAAGAAATCACATTTTTGTCTGAAAATTGTTTCCCTGCTGCTAGTATAAGAAATACCTCACATTACTCTCTTTAAAAAAAAAAAAAGCCAGTGAAATGATTCTTTTTTTATCTTTTCCTTTGCTCTGTGAACTTGGCAGCGCTTTGTGCATATTCCCTTTCACTGCTTCACTCCTCTAATCAGTTAAGTGAGGCTCTTTCCCCTCTGTTGTTTGTGTGGATCTGTCACATAGCACCTAGAGACACAAAAAACCATTTTAAATAGGAAAATGCAAAACACAAAAACTAAAGGATTAAGGATCAGATACCTGAAACTCCTCTCAACATTTTCTTTCAAGCTGAGCACGTTTCAGATTAATAGTGACTCTTTAACATAAATAATGATCTAATGAAATAAATATGAAATTGAAAGAATCATAAAAAGAATTATACATTTAAGAATGCCATCTGTGTAACACTTAGCCTAACAATGAAATCATTTCAGTGCCAGAACAGCTCACTCCGCTTCTAGCACAAGTTACAGGAGAGGGTAATGGCTTTGCAGAATGGCATAAAAGTCTGAGTTCAATCGCACACGGAACACCTGGGTTCAAACTTGCTGCACTTCACACAGACAATGGATCCCACACATGAGTTTTGAACTCTCCCCTGCTAATGTTTCCACCTCGAGTCATCACGAATTTTTCACACAGCTGCCGATTTTATCTCAAGGAAATTTAGATATTGGAGAAGATTTTATGGGTCAGTATGAGCGGATCTTGCATCAACTGTTACACTGATTCTCTGCTTTCCAACTGTGCAATCCAGAGTCAGTTTTGTCAGACTGAAGTGCACAGGACTCAGAAACAAGACCCTCTTAATTATATCTGTACAAGAAAACTTTGCCCATAAAGCATTTAGGATTTAACACCAGACCTAATGTCAGTTTTTAGGAACAGTGTCCTAAGGTACCGGTCTGTCTGGGCATGCAGCAGAAAGCTCCATGTCACAGGATGGAGATCCCATTTTTGTGAACAGGGAAGCCAAGCTCTTGCTATGTGCAAGGCAGTGCAACAGAACCGTGTGGAACACAATGGAGATTGTTTGTTTATACCAGCCCGGGAGAAGGGAACATATTTGTTTTGAGTGAGCTGTGTTAGAATACATATTGTTTTATATGCCCAGGCCTCATTACGCCATGTTAGTCTTCAATATGGATCAGATCCTAAAGCTGCTCAACATACTGAAATAAATGTGAGTTCTACCCACAGAACATCTCCAGACTTAGGCCTCATGTCTGTCAATGTCATCTCAAAAAAACAAATGTTCAAAGAAGAAAAACAACAAAAGTATCTTAGAGATTGTGGAGGATGCTCACGTGTGGCAGATGTCTTTCAAGGCGATGCTGAGGAATTACTCGGAGAGAGAAAAATCCTTGTACCAAGAGTGGAGAAGAGAGCAGGACTAAAAAAAAAAGCAGAGATAATTAAGTTTCACTGGAAGAAATATGGCTTGTTCGTATTTTAGAAGTTATTCTGAAACCAAGAGGAAATTCTTCCTTCACATGAGTGATGCAGCCACATTAACATCTCCTCGGGCACAAGTGGCCACAGCCCACATTTTGCTTAAAGATATAATTGTAAGGGCATCCACAGAGGAAGAGTTAAAGCGCTATTCAACAAACAACCTGAAGTGCTGTACACTGTATTCATATAAGGGAAGGTATGAGCCAACGGAAAGAGATATTCAGCTGCAATCAAAGAGGATCTGAGCCTAACTGAGCGCTCACATGACAGTTGGGATCATTTCGGATCCCTTCCAATGAAGATAAAATAGCATCAAAAGCAGGGAGGCTTTTTTCTTTCTTTTAGGGATGAAAACACATCATCATTAGTCAAATTTACTCTGAACTTCCACCTTCTCATGTTGATTTGTACTCAGGTTCAGTAAACATATCTTTCCATCAAGGTAAATAAATGTAAAAGCCTATGAGTAACTTAATTGCTTAATGATGGATGCAGTATGGGGTGTAACACTGTTTCTGACTATACTGTTGAAGTTAACGACCTCTCAAAAACACCTATTATACATCTTGGCAGTAAAAAAAAAATCTGTTCCTTCTTGAAAATCTGCTTATAACATTTCAACCACTTTCCAATCATTTTTTCCTAGTGTTAGGGAGGAGGTGGAAACCTCTGAGGAAAATTTTCGAGGTGGACCAATGTAAAATGGAATTTATTCTGTTAAGATGCCATCCTTTGAGGGCCTGCATGGCACAGAGAAATTAAGCTTGAGAAAAGCAGAGACCCCACAGTGAGGGCAGAAGTTACACAGAGTGTAGGAAGTATCTCCAAATTAAAATGGCCACGGTATTGAGTAGGACCATTCAGTTGGGTGAGTGGGGGGCTCAGTCCACAGATGTCAGGCAAGAGCCTCATCTTGGATACATAGCACACACCTAGGGACATCTGGGAATGTGCCCGCCTGTGTCTTTGCATGCCTAGTGCCCTGGATTGAGAAGGACCCATGGGAGAAGCCATTGTTCCCATTAAAATCAAGCTGCTTAATAGAGGTGCAGGCAAAATCAGCTCTCCAGTGAGAGGACAGTGAGGGAGGAGGGTACACCAAGTGTCTGAGAGTGAAATCTGGCTCGTGGTGGGCAGTCAGGCAGTGTGTAGAGGCACAGCTGCCAGCTTGACATGATGGATCAGGAAAGATACTAAGGAGCTGCGAGAGTCCAGGCAACAGAAACAAAGCAAAACATGAAAAAGCAATAGGTCAGCCCATCTTTACAATCTATCAATTAAACAATCATTCACTTCCAAAGGAGTCTGATGGCCTAAGCAGTACACATCCCAGCACATGATTGCTACTGTGATGGAGCGACAGGCTTACCAAAAGCAGTGAATAATAATAATTATTAGTAGCGCTAATAATTTAGGTTAGGTTGTTCTGTAGTGAACCCCTCTGAGGAAATAACATGGTTGGGCATTTTGGCTTAATTCCATAGTCCCGTACCAGCTTTACTCAGACTGCTGAAAAACAAAGGTGTGTTCAAAATTGTCCATTACGTGGGAGGCTTGTGCCAAAATCTCACCCTCCTTCAGTAAGGCAGCACTGGTGAGTGCCGCAGAGTCGCCTTCAGCTGCTTTCTCCAAAACCCTGAAGCTTTCAGAAACATGCATTTCTGCTGGCATCACTCAACAGCTCATTGTTAGGATTTGTTCTCATTGACATGCATGAACTGAGACTGATGTACAGGGTGATCCAGAGTGACAGCCTTCAGCCATAAAAGTGGATGCCTGCTTCCCTTATAGAGTCCAGGGACTCACACTTGACTCAGAAGGATATATGCAAAAATTATCTTTCCTCTCTCATTTGCCTGTGTTAAGCCTAAGTGTGTTCAGCCAAATTAGCAATCAGGCAAACTGTGCATGCAGAAATCTGCACTTTTACAAACTGCGTTTTTTTTAAAACATTCCAAGATTAAATATCTTGACAAAAGACGAAAACTCTTTAACAAATCTGCCCCTAGAGAAAAGAAACATTTTTTTTATTCCATTTACTGTCATATGACATATAGTTGAACACAGTCCTATAGGTTGATTTGTTGCTTTAAATAATGTCACTAACATCCAGATATCAATGTGATGGTGCAGAAAAAAAAAGTTCACATTGAGCTAGATTCAATTACAGACCTAGAAATTGAAATTAAGTCTGATGCTAGATGCTTAATTCATGTGTGTTTGACTGAGAAAAGGAGTATCTGGTTTACCTTGAATTTCCTGCCTTAGTGTGGTGAAAACATGACCCATTGCATTAATTAAAAAATAGTTTTCGAATGTAACTTAAGTGGTATTGCACTGGCAGGAGAAGACAAACACCTTTTTGTCCTTGACATGTTATGTGATATAAAGGAAGCTGCTCAATAGCTTTTTTCTTGATTCTTAGCTATGTAGATCTTACAATTTTCATTGAAGAACAGGAAAAGGTATGATGACATCTCCCAGTGAGAAGCCAAAGATTCTTCTTTAATAAAAAAATATTTAAGCATTTATTCCTCCAAATCCATAACCCTCTTGTGACCATGCCATTTGAAACAGGTGTCTGTGGGCAGTTATCACATATGTCACGTGCATCTATCCTTATCTCAATCAGGTGTTACACCTAGGTTGATATGTTCACATTTAACACCCCAAAATCCTCTGTCATAGCAGTGGACTTTCAACCAGCACATGTTCGACTACTGATTTCACATATGCGGCTGGGACTAACTTTTCTCCTAATATGGTGATGGCACAGGCACTATTTAAATGATTCCTGAGCCTTGTAAATATACACCAGATGTATCTTTTGTAAATGTTACATTTTTCAACATCTCAGCATTTGTGAATAGTTGAAAGCGATGCCAACCATGCTTTAATGGGGCACAGAAGCATAGTGCATTCAAAGAAATGGCACACCATCGCAATAGTCAAAATTACAAGCGCTGTCAAAAAGCTACATTTTCACTTTATTGATTAGCACCAGGCAATGCAGCACTCCACATTGCACCCTCATACGTGCCTCTTTCAGCTGATGATGTTTCCCTGCACATGGGTACACAGAAAGGGATATGGAGCTTCCGGGGCTGCTCTGGGGGAAAAGGGCAGAGAGTCCTGGAGAGTCACATTGCCCGTGTCCCAACCACCATGATGGTCAGAGATGGAGCAAGAAGGGCTGTGGGGACCACCACTCCTGCAGCTGTGGCCGCCACCAGCTGCCAAGAGCAACCACAGGGATGTACCCGCCTTCCAAGAGGTGGGGAAGGAGCAAAGTGCATCTTTCCCATTGGCACTGATGCAGTTTGAGGCTATGATACACTTTCCAGCAGCTCGGGCTCCTCTTGCTCGGTCCTTCCTTGTTGCTGAGGTAACTCAGCACAAGGAGAGGCATCTCCTGCTAAGGACTTCTCCTGGGGCATAGGGTGAATTCATTCAGCTGTAAGAAGAAGCCATATCCTGGGTTTTCCCAGACCCCTCTTTTTCCCTAAGCTTTTCCTGGCTTTCCTGTGTCATTGTAGAAATCTCACAGAAGACCCAGAAGCACCTGTGTGTAACAGATTATGGGAAATGTCCATTTCTACCTCCTGGTACTTGCCCTATCCATCACCACCACATCCTGATTACCTCAGTGGTCTCCCTGTTAGCACCAGGCAGTAAAATGAGCTGTCAAAAATCAGCCATCACATTTGCCTGAAAATGCACTTCTTAGAAAGATTTGTCCCCCAGCTGTCCCACAGATAAGAGGAAAGGCCTTTATAATACTGCACAGTTACTATTATTTGCAAGGCAGAGTGCTTTTGCTCAGTGAATTTTGTGCTGGAATTGCACAGTGCGACTCAGTCCAGCAAATCAGCTAAAATCAGAGCTAGGTGACACAGGACAATAAACTTAGAGGGAATGGACTAGACATAATGCCCCACTACAAGTATTATTTCCAAATTCACAGGCTTGCAAATTAAAATGTCCCTGGATCACTGCCATAAAAAAGAACATTAAAAATCAGGGGAAGAGGTCTGGGCATCTGTTAGAAGCATCTAATATATACCAAATGTGTATGCTGAGCTTCTTAGATATATGCGTTGCTGAAATATAGCCTACAATTAATGTAAAAGCAGAAATATTTTAATTGTATTTTTCCATTTGATATTCAAATGAAAAAAATATATCTTATTAAACACAACACTTGGCTTTGCTATTTTAATAAAAAATAAGTTGTTGAGGAAAAGAAAAGCAAAACTACTGATTCCTTTCCTTATGATGATCAAATGAGTCTTTCATGTTTGCATCTTATACTTCACTTTTTAGCATTTCGAGGCAAATAGCAGATATCAAAACTTAGTAAATAATCAAAGACTTATTCGGTTTTCCAAACTGTCATGCTGCTTATCTTGTAATAACTGATCTCTTAGGTAGCATAAGCTATTTAATTGCTACTGAAGATTATTTGAATGAAAAAAGAGACGACATTCTCCCTTACCCCTCAAAAAGACAAAACTACATTCTTCAAAAAGACGCATGCCGACAGATAGATTCTGATCTCTTCTACACATGCACAAGTGCAATAGCTAATTTTACAAGATTTGATAGGAGCTGCGTATCTGAGATTACACCCTGTACTCCTGACTGCACATTCCACATGGAGAATGACTTAATTTGGAAATAATTTTTGTTGCTGATAAATCCAAACTCTGAATCTATTAAATTATTTTTAAAAACTGCTCCTGCATTTTAAAGGGACTTTTTACAGTGTTGGCAAAGTGCGTATTCATGCATCCCCCCTGACATGATAGACTGTAATGGCTCCAGTCTGTCATGTCAACCATCTGCATATTAAACAGTCCCTAAGTACACATTGACACAGCAGACCCTAATAGCTCTGAAGCCGTAACAATCTATTGAGTCAATAATATGCATGTTAAAGAGCATCTCCTCTACTTCCATCAATATCTTTTATCTTTTCCTTAATTTGTATCTTCTTTTTATATGTATATTCAGAGTTAAAGTTTTAGGAACCTTTATCCTTTAACGTGCTGCCGCAGATGTGAAACATGTGGCACAGAGAGGTATATGCAGTAGCAAAATCATTCCTTAGTATCTGGGCCAGACCTTAAAATGAGGACTATAATATTTTTATGCTGGTAGCACACATTCTTCCAGATAAGGTGGAAATAGCCCCTTTTTTCTGCTAGGCCAGACCTCGTTCTAGTGAAGAGCCCAGGAAAGGTTCCTGATGATTTCATAGGCTTTGGATGGAGCCCAGTGTGATGATACTAATTTCCTATTATACATTTCCTTCTAATTAAATGAAATAGGTCACCAGAGGAAAGTGAAACAAAAGGCAAATGTATTTACTTACGGTAATATCAACCCCCCAAAAAAGACAATCAGAAACAAGAGAAAAGATAATACAAAACACACCATCTCTTTATTAACTTGAGATTATGTCTGGTACCACAGTCTTAATTCATTCCTGTATGGTCCCAAGATCTTTTATAACATGGAAGATGGAGATTGTTATTTAAGCATAAGAAAACGGTAACTTAACCTGTTTTGTCTAAAAAAAACAAACAGAAAAATCTTAATTTTCTTTTCCTCAACTTCACATCACTTTACCATGCTGTGATTCTCTCGCACTCTCATCACAGAACTTTCCCATCTTCTTCCACTCCTCTTGCTTTTTGTACGCATCAGGATTTGGCTCATTTTTAAAAGTGAAACTGAGGTGCAGTTTATGTTTCCAAAAGGTAGACCCAAGGACAGAGAGGCCACTTGACCCTATCGGTAGATCTTAGTTGGCCTCAATTCCCCTCTCCTTTCCACTAATTTGACACCAATGTATCTTTGATGCACGTAGGGATTTATTCCAGTGTATTCTGGATTAACTTTCATTCCAGTGAGGGCAAAATCATGCTACTCTCCCTATTGCTTTCCAGGAGTGTGCAATTCATCCTCGCCCTGCCTTGCACCATTTCATGTCACCAGGCACACCAGACCAAATCATCTACTTCTGTGCCTCACTCAGGGCAGCATCCCCTAACCTCATGACAAGCATTGAAGGCACCTGCCCTCTGTTAAGTTCTCAGTAACTTCTTGTAGCTGGCTTTTCTTCCCAATGCAATAGCAGAGAAGCTGATCAGATGCCCACATGCATGCTGAGGGATTTGCCCAACCACGAGGCCAGCCCTCAAAGCCCCAGACTAGTGCATACATTTCATCCTGTGTGTGTTATCAGGACAGGACTTTCTAAACTGTGGATAGCACAGTACTCACACAGCCACAATAATCATTATTTGAGTTTATCCACTGAAGATCGAGAAAACAGATTTGATTTAGTTTTGGATGGGTACATTTTTTTCCTAAATGAAAAAAAGCTATTGAAAAAAACAAAGCAGATGAACAAAAGCTAAAGAAGGGGTGCCATGAAAAAAAAAAAAAAAGACAAAAGCAAAAGTCACTGAAAGTCCTGCTATCTACATTGCCTGTATTTCCTTTAGCTGAGGGAGGCAGCCCAAGTGGAACTCTGGAAGGCTTATTCCTGTGGGAAACAGTTCATTGTCAACTCCCCTCTGTGATGCTACAGTTCAACACCAAATTAGAGACATAAAGCACAGTCCTCTCTCTGCAATATTATGGGTACAGCCATGTTCGTTTGAGAAAAACATGTCCTCTCTGGACCTACTGCAGGAGTTCTCCTTTGCTATTCACTCTAGTCAACTCTGGTACTTGCTGTGTAGCAATCTGACATCCCAGACCAATCCAGCCCTGGTGAAGGCAGGAATGTCACACAGCAACGACACAGGAGGTCTGGATTATTTATGACGCCCATCTACTCCCTTGGCCCTTCTGTTTGTGCCTGACAAGTCTTGTAGGCTTCTCAGCACCTAACAGTTACCAGATGATGGTAACGAAGGACAGGAGGAGGGCTGCTGGCCACACAGCCAGAAAGAGAGTCCTTCAACACAAATCCTCTGCACCTAGGATTATTGGGTTGGGTAACTCTCACTCTGGGTGGCCAGCATTTCCAGAAATTTATGCAGAGAAGTCACCCAGTCCAACCACACAGACTTAAAGCAATTGATACCTGCCCCCAGGTAAAAGAAGAACCACCAACCTCGGTCAGTAAATGAGACAGGTAAAGGTGATGAAAAGAGGGCAACTGAAAGAAATGCAATGCCATATGCAAAGTGTTTCATGTTCCCCCAGCAACTTCCTTGTGCATGCTGCAAATGCAAGGTGGGCTCTTCAGAAAGGGCCTCACTTCCTCCCACCATATCCCCCTCCTGCACAACCTGTCTCATGCCTGGCTGCAGCTGAGCCTACTCCAGGCTGTCCTGACCCCGAATGGAAAGATTCCAGTAACTCCAGTGAAGAGGGCTCTGTATCCTTAGGCAAATGTGGGAGAACAAAATTTCGGTAGGGTTATGATTTCACTGCCTGTGTGCATAGAATGTCTCTTTTCCTGTACAGAGGAATGCTGGCCACCCTTCCCACTTTTTTGGTTCTCAGTGTTCATCACTGCACCTGGAGTTATCTCCCATTTACCAGGGAGTTGCTTTAAGTGTCTGACTCAGTCACATATGTTTGGCTCCCTTATTCAGAGTAAGATTTGGCCTACTAGCTGTGAAAACAGCTTATATCACATGTGCTGCAAAGCCTAGCCAGAACAGGCTGAATAAAGGATGAAGTTTAATCATGGAAATGTTGACCTACAAATAGAGAACAAAATGTTAAACCACATGGTATAGGGTGCTGCACGCCCCAAATATCGAGGAGAGGAAAGATGAATTGAACACATTTGGAAAGTAAAGCTTACTGTTTGGGGTTTGGTTGGGGTTTTTTTTACTTTTTCTTTCTGCATATTCAGAGAGTCAGACCCACACTGTTCCCGCTCGCGATGACACCCTGGCATCTGAAGAACAACATGACACCCACCACAAAATGCTGCTGTTGGCTGGCGCTGTCTAAAGCAGCAAGGTTTGGTGAGGAAGGTGAGACTGCCAAAGGCAGGCAAGTGGGGGTGTCACAGAGAGCGGGACCTGGCCGACAATGTGACTCCAGTCTATGGAACCTGTACAAACTGGGGAGAGGTAAATGTGATGAGATTTGAATGCCCCTTTGATCCCATGTCCTTGAAAACTACCAGTGGGCTACCTCTTACAGCTGGGGAGTGTCATTATTTACACACCACCTTTTAGCTGGGACCTTCTCACCTTTGTGGGTTTCACATAAAGAAAGGCAGTTTTTTTGTCAGAGAATCCATTTCCCTTTTTAATCACAGCCATCGCACAAACTGTTCTTCTCACAGGATGTGAAAACTTTATCATAGGCTTTATTTAACATCTTTTGGGGGGTTGCAAAACACAAAGAATAATTTTTTTAATCAACCGTCTTACTCTCAATAACTCAGGGGGCTTTGTCTTTAGGTACACTGCACTTTAGAAAAATATAGTTAACAGCAGTCAGCCAGGCCTTACTGACTGACAACTGTTTCTTTACAGGATTTCTATGTGCCGAGGAGCTGGACAGTAATATCCATTTGGTATTCATGGAAAGTACTTGCAGAACAATAATGACAATAATTGCTTCTGATTCTTGTGTTTACAACACTGCCAAAGTATCATTAGAGCCTTATTTATAGATAATAATGCTTATTAATCACACATATTTGAATTTTGGAATGTATTGGATTAATATTCTTTTGTAACTTGGTTCTGTATTACTGCTATGAAAAGCACTTTCTGAATGCAGCCCACTGGGAAGTGCTCGCTTCAGGAAAGTAAAAGCATCCAAGCCATCTGCAGGTGAGGGACAAAGGGCATACCTCTTCCTCAGCAGGCAAACGCCAAAGCTGGACACGCCATTTCAAAGAGAAGCTCCTTTGGACTAAAATCAGGGGCAGACTCCTGAAAAAAAAAGTACCATGAAAGGTGTGACAGTAGTGTCATGGTTGAGCTTGCTTTTTAATGCTCTATGAAAGGGGTTGCTTTCTACCACTTTCTAAAGAAACCTGTTTTGAAGGTGAGAAATATGTCCATCTATCATCTCACTCTTTCTCACCATGGGTGAGTTTAGCCTGGACCTCAGGATTCCTTATCAGTCAAGAGGTTGTTAATGAGAAATATACTACAAAAATCACTTCTAATTTTGGTTATTAAATAATTCCAGCTTTTCTATATCAATATCTGCTGCAATTCTATAGCATGATAGAAGAAAAATAAGTTTTTTAAAAAGACAGTTAAAACAAGCAAAAATGTCACCCAAACCTAAAGACCAACTGCCATATATTCATATTCTCCTTTGTCTCTCTGTAGCCCATTACAATGCTGAAAAATACACCAAAGCAACTGCAGTACCAAACTCTTCAATTTTTAGTGTGTGGCCAGCTCCATAAATTTGTTTTTAAATAAATAAAATACATAACAGTGTAGAATGTCTATTATTATTATTACTGTTGTTATTTTATTATTATTATTATTATTATTATTATTTTCCTTGAGATAGTTCTTAAAATTTACAAAGGCTCTGTCAGTTTAGACATACATTTCCATCTGTTTGTTTTTTTCCTTTTTACCCACTGCTGATGTAACATAACTACTGTAACAGCAGAAAATAGGGAAAATGGGAAGGGACAAAGGGAGATGTATTTTATTCTGTGTCTCTGTTTTGTGTTTTTATGGTGCTCCCTGCACAATGAGGATAACCTGTTCCTCAGTGTCACAGCCCCATTGTCTCCAGGGATCTTCCACAGTGGCAGCAAAAAAGAAATAATTAAAACACAGAAGCTCTAAATTGTGAAGAACACTTGTGGCTTTGCTGCAACTCCCCCAAGCTGCCCCTGACTGATATATTTTAACAGACAAAAATTACAAAGTGGTGTTGCCCCTTTAAAATGTGCTTCTCCCATTAATATTCCACTGTGCTTTTCTCACTGTGTTTAGAAAGTGCCAGTATTGAGGTTTCCCAGGAATTTCAAACCTATCAAGACAGGCGGTGCTGAGCGCAGCCCAATCGTTTCTAGACGAAGTCAGGATTTAAAATTAAAAAAACCCAACAGAGAGGTTAGAGATGAAACCAGAGGAAAACTGACATCAGGATGCAGAGGGGAGCCTTGTGGGTTCCGCACAAAAAAGTGGTGCATCCCTCCCCCAGGGACCACAAGTCCTGCTGGGAGCCATGGGACCAGCTTGTCCTGGGTTTTGCTGGGAGAAGAGTCATGGCTTCAACCACCACTTGCAGACGAAGAAATTATGCCCTGAGTGTGGACATTGGTGGCGCAAAACGGTTTGGATTGGACCCTTTTCCCACTTGCAGCTTGACACCATCCAGCCAAAATTGATCCCAAAACTTGATAGTGTTGCACTGAGGGAACTTCGATCAATAACCAGTTGTGTTTTGGTTCTCCTGCTACTCCTCTTATGAAAAGAAATCCGTAGCCCCAGGTGCACATGACCTGCTACAGGGTTCACTGGCAGAGAGGCATCTATGGATACTCTCCTCTCCCCATATCATGATTGCTCCTCAAAACATTTGCTATATTTTTCCTAGGCTTCAGCATGTCACAGTTCAAAAAGCTGTCCCTCTAACAGGTCTTTGAAATGTGCATCTTATTCTTTCCTAACAGTAATAAAAATATATGCAAGAGTTCAGTACGAAGACGCTAATTTCAAAAAGTCAAATCAGCAGCATATAAAATCATAATTCACCCTATGCAGATTCCAAATTTCTTATTTTCTTAATTCAGTAATGAAGAATAATTTCTATTATTTCTGTCTGGGTTTTTTGGGGCATTAGTGGTTTAATCATTTTTTCTACCTCAGAACAAAAAGGTAAAATAAACAGTTATCACACGGAGAAAGGTAGGTTTGTGCTTTATACTCAAAGGTCTGACGCGAAACCTATTCAAAGATAAAAAAAGACATTTCCAGCTATAGCATTTTACCATTTTTTTCAACCAGAGACAAAAGAAATTTATCAGATTTCTATGTCCACATTTTACTTTCTAAAGAAAAATGGGCACTTTTCTTTTAATATTGAGTTTTCAGAGTTCTCACTGAAGTCAAATGAGAGGGTAAATGCCCAATGCCCTTGAAAAATAGTCCCTATCCTGCAATATCCCTTTCCTGTGCCTGAATGAATCCCCAGTATGAAAAAGCTGGCCCTCCCACACAAAATAAGTGGATGACCCTACAAACACTGCTGCATGCCCCAGAAATTTCAGCACGAGTCAGAGTATGCAAAATCAAGTTTCAAGCAAAACCCAAGCAACAAACAGGAAAATCACCTTCCTAATATCAAGTGGAATTGCTACAGGTTGCATTTTTGGATTTGTAGATATGGGGTAGGAAAACAAAGAAAAGTTTTGACTGGCTTGTTCACTAACTATATCTCAGCGGTCACAAAACATTAAAAAGGAATATTCAACTGGAAAAGTTCTAAGCATACGGGGAGTTTCAAAAGTGTATTTTTGTTGTATCATTTTAGTTGCTATATTTCTCACTAGAACAATATTATTCTGCTTGTATTTAGCATTGGTTTTATAGTCAAATAATTTTTCTTTCTGCTATCAGAGTGCATGATTATTGTGTATTTATCCCTCCAGATATGTATCATTAATATCTCTCTTCCTTATTTTTATACCATTTATAGCTACTAAAATCTGGAAATCGTAGTTTCCCATTGTCTTCATAGACAAAAGCAGGAATAAAAATAAAAACATACCTTTTCCTCAAGTAGTCTACTAACCAAAAGGAGAAAAAATAAGCTTTGTGTATTTCTAAATAGTCCTGTAGGAGTCATATACTTTTACTACGTGCTATATATCGTATGGTTTCTCCCTCTGTTATGACATCTCTGATTACTTTAAAAAAATTTTTCAAAAACGTTAAGGCACAAACCTTTGTATGGAATAGTTTTAGCACACTTTTTATTCTGACAAGATTAATAATTATCCTATAAGCATGGCACAGTGTTCTAAAATGTTTTTCTGCTATGAGTTAGCATTGTGCACATGGGTATAAATGTGGAAAGAAAGGTTATTTCACAGCAGAGAAATGTATATTTAAATAAACTGTGATTGTGATAAAACTGAATAAAAAGGAAAAGCATTATTTTTTTCCCATCACAGTTATTCTGAATTTAAAATATCTGTAGTGAGTTTCCAAAGGACACTGGGCATTTGTAATGAAAATACAAGCTACTGAAATTATTGGGAGATAATTGAGAGAACCATAGCAAATATCCCAGGCCTTTGGGCAAAATTGTCCAGAAAGAGATCTGCTTGTGTAGCAAGTGACAACCGTGTCCCCTCTTCTCTACCACCAACCTGTCTTCTTCTGTGCCACCTGCAACTAGCTCCTAGTGGGAGCAGCTAAGTAGGTGGGAACCAGGCTATGGACTAACCAGACTTTGCTGTCTTTCCACAAGACAGTTCATAGGCACTTAGAGTCATGGCAGACTTAGCCTTTCCCAGAACACACAACTGCCCTTTCAGACACATCCAACACTTTCCATTGATGCAAAGGCATGTTTGGGTAGGTTTTTTTTTCCCCAATTGCTCAAAATGCCCAGTCATACATATCCTACATATCATTCCAATCAGACAAAACTCCAAGTGGCTTCAATGAAAGTGAAAAGGAGGATTTGGCCCATCTTAAGGAGCACAGGTTTGGCTTCCAGAGGCTGAACTGTACCTGCTCATTGGAGCAGGGCATTGAAACACTGGAGCCAACAGACTTTGAACTAAGGAGAGAACCAAAGGTGACACTTTGCCCTCACTTAAACCAGAGCCAGGACAGGCAGTGGCACCCCAATTTGCCCCTGAGCTTCAGTGTTAGGCTTCAACACTGCTACCCTCTTTCTACTAACTTTCCTTGCAGGAGTAATTTTAAAATAATGTAATGCCAAGTGCCAGAGGGCTCACTCTTTACAACATTAGGCTGAATCATATCAACTCCCATTATAAATATAAAAGATGACTGCATTACTTGACTTCATACTTTTCATAAAGGTTCTGTTGTGATGTGGTTTCACAAGGTATAAAAGCCCATGTGGGTATTATGGGCCATATCAGTTCATTTCATCTCCTCAATCAGCTACTTAAAAATGTTTTCCTTGCAGCACAGTAGAAAAAATAAAATAAATATTCTTTTTTATCATTTTCCAAATTAAATTCATATTCCATAATGACTTTATTTCATGTGCAAAATTACAAAATATGCTTACATACCTGACTTCCCTTCTTTAGTGAAGTGCGTCAATTGTAAAATGTTGCATATAAAATTAGAACCTAAAATGAATTACTTGTTTTTTCTTGATGTGAAACCTTGTTTAAGTTCACAGCAATTTTAAATATGATACATTTAAAATATTAATATTTCCCATATATTATTCACTGACTTTCAGGTTTCATCTCAAGTTAGTGGCACTTCATATTTCAAAGGAAGAAGTGTTTCTTTTTTTCAGTACTAATGTTCTATTAATTCACTTTGTAATATCATTCTGGTTCAGACAAATGAAATTGCACTAAACTGCTTATGCCAAGAATCATGCTACAGTTGTTGGCATTATATAAAATTCCATATTTCATTACTATTTTACAAGGTTTTTATATCAGTGGCATCTTTTTAGGCATAATTCATAGCCTCACTTAGTTATAGAAGGACAAATACATGCCGAGAGATTTTTATGCTGAAATGGGGGTATATAAATGTATTTAGAGTAAAGTCTGCAACTTAAGTGACTTTTGCAAAGCACCAGATGCAAACTCCCAGTGAACTACTTTAACAGCTTTTCCTTTATGAACATTTTTTATTTTGGGCAGTTTTCTCTTCCAGTATGTTTTTCATCACACACATGTATAAACATGCATGTACACACACACATACATTTGTCAAAAATAAATTTGTGTGTGTGCAGAAATACTTGAAAGGCCTCATATGCATATTATGCAACATATGCCATTCATGTAATCCCTACATACATAAAGAAAATTCATTCTATAGATACAAATAAAATTGTGAAAGAAGTCCTTAAAGGACCCATAAAGGCCTAAATGTAGACGGATTCTTCATCATATCCAAAGAACTGAAAGATACATAGACGTATAAAAAGATTGCTTTATATCCACATATCTTTTATAATCTTTCCATAAAGTCCACGTGGCCACATAACTATTTCCAGAGTTATGGATGAAAGTTACAGCTGGATAAGCCGAAAATCTTTAATGAGTAAAGCAGCATCTAATCCTATGAAATGCCTTGCAGGAGTGAAATAATTACAAAGCGCTGGAGCAAGAGTAGCAAACAGCAGTAAAATCACCTGTAAATAAATGTGAGGAACTATAAATACACCACAGTATTTGTATAGTTGACTTTCTCTGACTGTGATCAAAATTGGATGTTCAGGACTCAGAAATCCAACTCCAAGGAATGCAGATTAATATAGTCTGTGCCTTAAACTCTTAAGTTTGCAACATTGTTAGTAATGTATGGTCCTTTTATAATGCCCAGTATTTACTCCCTTGGCAATTTTAAAAATAATTTTTTTTCCGTAAATTTGATCCAACTCTTTTAAAAAATAAATTGCAAAATAACTGATGCAAATCCCTGTCACTTGTGAACACAATGAAATTATGCAGAGAGGAGTAAATGCAGGAAAGGCTCCTCCTCAAAAACAGAAATGAATGCCCTGTTCCTATACAGTCCTCAAATGCCAGGATTTTGAAATATGAATTAGACTTCGAATGCAAATTAACCTCGAAGGGGGGGGGGGGGAACAAAAAAAAAATCAGAGAGACATACCAAGTCAAACGCTCCTTTTTCTGCCTATCTCGTCCGCAATGGTAAAATAGGCTAAACAAAACAAGTGCACATCAAGATAGAGCCAATTAAGGAATAGAGAGCGGCATGGGGGGGAGGGGGAGAGAGGGTGGAGAGGAAGGCACCTCACTGAGCACATGGGGAGTGGGAGCGCAGCATCCCACCATACCTACCTTATGAGTGTTCAAAGGAAGACAACTGGGGTAAATTGGATCCAGCTTTGATTTTTGCCATCCGGTTGCACCCGGGTTGCGGGGAAGTGGGGGAGAAGGGTCGGTCTGGGCGGGGGTGAAAGGGGCGATAAAAGAAGCGGTGGGGTGGGGGGGAATACTGAGCGAGGGTGACAAACGGTATGCAAATTATTGGGCTTTTTGGGGCTTGTTTTTTGGGGGTTTTTGTGGTTTCTTTTGCGGGGGGGGAAGGGATAGGAAAAGAAGGGGGATAAAGGAAAAGAGGGACCCTCAGTGGCGAGGTGAGTGTGTCCCTGCACGCTCCTCACACGCTTTGGGGAGGACGAGGGGAGTCGTGCGGGGCGCGGCGGGAGCCCCGTCGGGGGTCGCGGAGCCGCCGCTGCGCTGACAGGGCCGGGCGGGGCGCGGGCGCTGCACGTTCCCGGGAGCAGGGGGTGCGCCAAATGGGGGGAGAGGGGGTGTGCGTGGATGCGCCCCCCGCCTCCTTCCTTCGTTGCCTCCCTATCCCCCCGACCACTCTCCCCCAGCACGGCTGCCTCACCGCTCCCGGCGGCTCCCCGTTTGGAATTGGAGACCGGCAACTCTCACCAGAGCTCACCAGCATCCCACGGTCCTTAGGAAGGAGTTTGGGGCGGCGGGGGGAAGCGGGAGCGAGGGGGGGTTGAGAGCGCCCCCGGGGAGCGCCGGGAGGGAGGGAGGGGAGCCCGGCGAGGAGGACGTGGCCGGCGACGGAGCTCCTGAAATGGAGCCAGCCCAAACGGGCGACGATGCTGGAGCAGGGGCTGCGTCATTTCGGGGCTGGGAGAGGGCTCAGCTCACCCTCGCCGCCTGCCTGTCTACAGACAGTGGGGAAAGACACCGGCAGGCCGGGGCAGGGTGGCGGGGCCGGCGGGGCCCGGGCCACCT